TAGCGACTCACCTATTTTAGGCAGTATAGGTACTTGGTTAGACGGCAGACTTACCCTTCACTAGCCTTAAAATATCCCTCTGGAGGTTTTAAGTATAGCTCCTCTTCCACAAAACCATGTAGGTATGCGTTGTTGATGTCTAACTGGTATACTGGCCAGTCGCTTACGGCTGCCACGGCTAAGAGTAAACGAATCGTGACTAATTTGGCCACTGGTGAGAAGCTATCGTGATAATCTATGTCGAACTCCTAGTTGTAACCTTTAGCTACGAGTCCTACTTTGTATTTATCAACTGATCTATCGGCATTGTATACCTATTTTGAGTCGATAACTTTCTTTCTTGTTGGTAGTGCAATTAGTTCCCATGTTCTATTTTCTTCCAGTGCGCACAGTTCGACTTGCATGGCCTCAACCCATTTGTTGTCCTCTTTAGCATCCCTGTATGACATTGGTTCTTTGGTAATAGACACTTGTGCAATAAAATTAACATAGCCGTGGTTATATGTAGGTGAGATGGACATGAGGAAGGGAAGCTCAGACATGGGTTGTTCAGTGGTATGGGCGACAAAGTCTTCCATCCAGACAGGCCTGTTTCTCACCCTGATGCTCCTCCTCACTTCAGACTCCTAGGGAATGCTGGTTGGTAAGGGAGTTTCTTCTCTTCTTTGTGGCTGGTTTTTAGGTGTGTTTACTGTGTCGTCACTTGGTATTAGCAGTGGTGTGTCATGGTAATCTGGTTTAGGTTATTTTGTTTCATATGGGAAAATGTGTTCATGAAGTATGACATCCCTTGACAAAACCATTTTTCTGTTTGTTATATCATATAATTTGTAAGCCTTTGCATTGGGTGCATACCCTAAGAAAACACATTTCAAAGCCCTAGGCTCAAACTTATCCTTTTGAGGGATGACATTTGTGTCAAAACATAAACAACCGAAGGTTTTTAAGTTTGAGTAATTTGGCTATTTTTTGTACAGAATTTCATAAAGGGTTTTCCATTTTAAAACAGAGCTTGGTAAAATGTTTATTGTGTGTGTGGCTATGAATATGGCTTCATCCCAAAAACTTTTGGGTAGTTTTGATTCAAACATCAATGCCCTAGCAATTTGTAATAGGTGCTTATGTTTCCTCTCCACCACCCCATTCTGTTGTGGTGTGTATGTATAGGTTTTTTGATGCATGATGCCCTTTTCTTGAAAAAATTTTTTGCATGAAATGTTTATGAATTCAGTGTCGTTGTCTTTCCTAACTACTTTGATTGTTTTCTGAAATTGATTTTGTATTAGATTGTAAAAATATTTTAAGGTATTTGGTACACTCATTTTTTCTTTTAATAAATAAGTCCAAATGACTCTTGAGAAATCATCAACTATGGTTAAAAAATTAAGTGCACCAGAGGTACAATTAACCGGGTATGATCTCTAAAGGTCAACATGTATTAAACTAAAAATGTCACATATGGATAAAACTTTTAGAAAAAGATAAGCACTTCTGTTTTGCCAAGGGACATATTTCATAATCATGTAAAGCTGCACTGTCTGGTAACTTTAGACTGGAAATGTTGATCAATTTTTTTGTGAATGTGTGGCCGAGTCTTTTGAGCCATTGTTGTAGGTTGTTTTCTTGAGTGTGGCTGATGTATGCTTTGTCAGGGTCAATGTCTTCACTTAGGGTGTACATGCCTTTTATTATTGTTCTCATCCTCAATATTTTCTTAGTTGTCAAATCCTGCACAAAACAATAGTTGGGATAAAAGAAAATGTAGGTATTTATACCTTGGGTTACTTTTTTGACAGAAATAAGGTTGCAAGTGAATTTTGGTATATAAAGAACATTTTGTAGAATTAAGTTGTCACACAGCTTTATGGTTCCTTTGTGGGTTGAATGACTCGTGGCTCCGTCTGGTAACGAGACAGACACTGCAGGTTCTAGTTTTACGAGTTTTGAAAGTATTTTAAAATCATGGCATATGTGTGATGTGACACCTGTATCTATTATTCAAGTTTCTATGTCATTAAAGGTATGCGAAAAATTGCATTTAAGTTGTTTACCAGGGAGGCTAGAGTAGCCCACACACCCTGCTGATTATGCCATGTTTGCTCCTTGGTTCTTCAAGTATTTGCTGATCTCTTGTTGTATGAGTGTGGACATTTCGGTGCCCCAGTTTGTGTTGGATACTTTTGTTTTGGTGTTATCAGGGGCATTGTTTGCTACTGCATTAGCCTTTTCTTTGTTCCTTTTCCTTTTGAGTTCTGTAAACCATTCGGGTAGCTATGGAGCTTGAAGTAAGTGTCATTTGTGTGTCCTATGTTTTTGCAGTAAGTACATGCCATGCTATCCTTTTCCTTTTTCAATTTGGAAATTTTGGATTGTCTTTCAAGTTGGTGTAAAATGCAGCAGGCAACCCCTCAAATGAGTTGCTATTATGTACGTCCCTCTATTTTTTAATACTAATCACCATGGAATAAGCTCTATTTACTTCAGGTAAGGGTTCCATGATTAATATTTGGTTTCTAACATGGTCATATGAGTCATTAAGACCCATTATAAATTGCATTAGGTTGTCGGTATTATCTATTTCACTGTGTTGTGTTGTAGCATGGTAGGTGCAAGCAGGTGAGGGTCTTAGGTGTGTTAACTCATCCCACAGCCTTTTGAGTTTTGTATAATAGGCTATGACAGAAAGGTTAGATTGCGTGATGGAACTTATTTCGTATTTTAGCTGATATAACAGAGGTTCGTTGCTTTCACCATACCTTTCTTTTATTTCATCCCACAGGTTTTTTGCTGATGTGGTGAATAGGAAGGCATTAGCGAGCTCTTTGTTCATCGAGTTCAGACCAAGACACCACTATGCTATCTGTTTTGTGCCATTGCTCATATTCTACAGCATCGGGTTCTGGCTTTCTGCATCTGCCGTCCATGAGGGCAAGCTTGTTCTTGGCTCTCAATGTGATCATCATGGCTCGGCTCCAAGACAAGTAGTTGGATCCATCAAGTGTCGTTGTGACGAGCTGTATTCCAGGCTGGTCTGAGCTTAGGAGTGTCAATACATCTGTATTAGGGTTTGCCATTGAGCAATAGGAGAATATTGTAATGTAGAAATTAGGAAGATCAGTGCTTATTACAAGCACTGCTCTGATACCATATAAAGAAAATTAGCCGGGTAGGGTAGAGAGCATTTAATGCTAATTAATTGTCTGTTGTATATTTATTTGAATAGAGCCTTGGAAATATATACACACAGGGAAATAAAAAGAGGGGATAAGGGTGGTCTCTGGAAACGTCAGAGGCTACCAATTGTATCCAACTTTTAACAGAAAAAATCATCTGAACCCTTCATTTTAGGGTTTTGATTTTGGTGGTCCACGTGTCCTTCTCATTTTTTATTCTTTTCATACCTCAAACTTGGTTTGAAAGAACGTATTAGGAAAATAATTGTGATGGTGGACTCCATATATGTCACATAACTATTACAATATCAAGGAAGAAGCAAGTTTCTCTCATTGAACTTGCAAGTTCAAATCAAAATTATCATTAGCATATATACCATATTCACCATGAGTCAATATTTTATGTTGATTTGTTAGCATGTTGGCTCATTATAACTCAACATAGTATACTAATCTATTTCTCGCCCTGAAAGATCTCCATAACTACCTCTAATTGAATCATTATAAGACTATTGGGTTAAGTTAATAAGTTACCAATATTTTTGTTTATTTTTTGTCATTATTTTTCTTTTCTTGTTGTAAAAAATAAAAAAATAAAAGTTTTAAAAATGTTAAAATGATAAAGTGAACATTACCTATTATACCTCTTTCTACTTTTTGTTTCTCATTTTTTTTCCATGTAGAACAAGATAGGTTCCTCTTTGAATCAAAATATTGGCATCATTATCCTTTCTAATGCAAAGAGGCTTAATAGAAATAATGTTTTTCTTTGAGTCGCTACCACACACCACGGTTTCTGCATTTGATGTATGTAAAATCAAAGAAGCTCCAAGTGATGACAGAGATGAGTTTGGAAGAAGAAGAAACCCGCACAAAACAGAAAGCAGACTGTGTCAAGTGGGGAAATTCTTTTTTGTGGAAATTTTAAAATATATAAAATCTTTTAGTGTATGTATGCATTTAAAATTTTTTATGTGCGTTAAAATTAGTTAACATATTTTGTAAATTTTATGTTTATACCCTGAGAATCATTGTTAAAAAATGAATCTAATTTATCTATTAATATTTTATTTAGTATTTTATAATGTTGAGATAATTAATCGAATTCCCAAAAAAAAAAAAGTTACGTGCTATAATCTTTCAAAAAAATTAGTTCAACATATTTTTATATCTTTTTCAGGAGGAACATAAAATAATTTTTGATAAGTTACTAAGTTATTGGATGTTTTTTATAATCTAAACTTAATTGAATTTTTGGTTATTTCTTTTATATGGAGAAAATGGATGTAGGATTATGTTAGCTTAAGTTTAGGATTTGATAAAAAAATTAAAGATTTTGTATGAATAAAAAGTCTACTATTATCACATAGATCTAGCCTATGTGACCTTAGAAACAACTTTCTTTTATATGGTTATATGAACTGTGACCCTAAAATTCACATAGATATGAACAAAGTTAAGGATTTGTTATATGGTTATGTGTATTGGTGCTTTAAACCCTAAAAATGCAACTTTCTTTTACACTGCTACACTAAAAGTTATTGACAAAAAGTTCATCTATCATTACAGATGAACATCCTTGGTATCAGAATAACAAAAAAATGATCAAATTTTTTTATTTAGTTCAAATTTTATTATATTCATATCAAATTTACTTCATTTTCTATTTAAAATAAGTGTGAATTTTGCAAACCCAAAAAATAAAAATTCTTGTTCCTAAACTCTTCCCCTCAATCCAAACATACCACTTCCCCAAGCTTCCCCTCAAACTCGACACTCAATAAGAAGGCAAAGCATTGTTAAACATATAACTGTTTTTGTTCTGTGTTTACAAATGAAGATTCTAAGTTTTTATTGAAGAATTTTGTCCGCTTAAAAACTCAATGCAACATATGCAAAGGACCTTCAACTACATCGGCTTCAACACAGTTATTTTAAGCTTCGACTGAAGCAAACTCGACGTTTGTGGCCAGAAACGTGCCCAATTCTGTGAACCACATCTATATATTTACAGCTTATATAAGGAAAATCACCTTTTCAGTCTCCAGTCACAGGAGCCAAGATTTTTTGAACTACCAGCTATATCTACATCTAATAGAACATCTTATATGTTGTCTTTTTTGGTTGAACAGAAAATATGATATGTTGCACTTTACAATGGCAAACAAAATTTGAACCAGCAGCACTTACTACTAGTATGTATATCTGCAACTGTAGTGGCCAAATTTTCAAAGTCCATTGCTATATCTTGAAATTTCTCGAACATGGGTTCTTCTTGCAACAATTCTCCTTATAGAGAACCATTTCAGCACACTAGACAGCTTTTTCCACCTCCTGTGTGCTTTGGCAACGGCGCCAGTTGCTGTGTGTTGCAACAGGAATCCATCATGTAAATTGACTTGTGATTCTAAAATAAGATTCTGAGACGAGAGATCAGATTCAAAAAATCGAAGATGATCATCGTCACAGAAAGCTTGGGTTACAGATTCTGTGTCACAGATCAGGGAACTTGCAACTTGGCCAGGATAGCTCAATGTTTGATCATATCTAATACCCATATTCTCAATGCCATGCAGAGGATAGTCATCCAAGCCACTGATGCCCCCAACAGAGTAAATAGATGAAATGATATCTGGGGAAGAGGCAGCTGGTTGTGCATAGTCAAACCCACAAATCTTGTGAGAAGCCAGAACCTTGCTCCCATTGGAAATTTCTGCATTATTAGTCAAGTGTGAAAAGCTTCCTATGAGGGAAGTTTCATCTTCATAAGAGACAACCTCCTCCCAGTGTTTGAATGCAGAAAGTACCATTTTTTGAGCTTCAGCCTGATTGTACACGATTGATTGTTAGAAATCAAAGACAACGAAAACTTTATGTATTAAAAGGAGAATCACAACCAAAGACAGGAAATAAATCTGATGTGATAGAGGAATGTGCCTTTTCAGTTTCAGCCAGCTTATCACAGGGAACATACTGGCATTCCAGAAGCAATCCCATGACTTGTCCCACAATGTTGAAGACCACGCCAGATTTCTTTAGAGAACTCGGCGGGTAGTACAAGAAGACTCTCTTGTCAATTACACATGTCCGGGCGTGCTCCACAGTGATTTCCCACATTTTGGCAGACATACCCGTGCCAAGTATCTGCATTTGTGCCAAGAATACAGTTGCATTATGAAGGCCCTCAGTTTGAGCAGAGTCCATTCAAGTCATTCATGGAAAGCCAGAGAGAAGTTAAGAGAAAGCAGAAGGTCTGGATTGTTGTTCTTAATGGACAATGGAAACTAATGGACATGTTTTCCAAGTGCGCACAAGATATCTAACTCACAAACCTTAAAACTCAAAAATTCAGAAATAAATCAAGTGAGTTACTTTCCCCCCCTTCTAAATTCCTTGCTTCCAATTTCGGAAAAAAGAATGATAACAAGTTGATAACTAAATCATCTTGAAGTTAGGGAAAACAAATTGAATGAAAAAGATGGTACTATGAGTGAGAAATCTTCAGTACACAAAGAAAGAGAGTGATGCAGCAAGAGCATACACAAGATAGAAGCAGTGATTCTTACATGCCGAAGTTTTGAAGGATCTATGAAGAGCAAGGTCAGGAAATCCTTCACAGTGTTGATATTTTCCTGACTCAGACGTTTATGGAAAGCCCCATCTTTTCCAATCTTCTCCAATCTCCATACTTCATCAAACAGAGATGGTGGATGATGCTTCTTGTATACTGCAGTACAAAAGACCAAAAAGTTAAAAAAAAAAATTTTCCTTTTCCAGACAACTGATTTAAATGCCTCAATATATCTAGAGGATATAACTCCCTCAATCTGAGAGTTTTAAGCATCCTGAAAGAAGTCCCAGAAGATAGAACAACAAGAGACTTGGAAAAAAAGTTCATCAAAACTGAAACATCAATTTGATAAGATGCTCTGAACTCTTCATAAGTATATTTGTTCAGTGAGTTACAAATATCTTTGGTTGAACTATCAGTATTTTGGGTAATTTTAACAAAGTAGTCCATTCTCCATCAAAAGGAAAAAAAAATGCAAAATGACAAGCAAGATCAAAGAGAAAGCATAAAAGCTGTCACAGCATGTAAAGAGCTGGCTAGAATGAATTCAAAGAAGATATAAGACAAAAGTAAGTGCAAAGTTAAACACTGCACCAACTAGGCAACTGTGGCAGGGAACAAAAACGTTTCCTTACAACCAGGTAAACAAGACCAAATAACCCTGGACAGCAAGAAGGGTGAGGAACTTAGTGTCTACATGAAACCAGACATTCTGTAAGCTTTTAAATATAGGATTCTTTCTAATGCAGTCCCACATGTAAAGAGCTGGCTAGAATGAATTCAAAGAAGATATAAGACAAAAGTAAGTGCAAAGTTAAACACTGCACCAACTAGGCAACTGTGGCAGGGAACAAAAACGTTTCCTTACAACCAGGTAAACAAGACCAAATAACCCTGGACAGCAAGAAGGGTGAGGAACTTAGTGTCTACATGAAACCAGACATTCTGTAAGCTTTTAAATATAGGATTCTTTCTAATGCAGTCCCATGAAAGGCAATAAGCATTTGTTCAAATGATCACTGAGTCTCTCTCATCCCAGCTTTAACAGTATATTAGCATAATTAGATTCAAATGATAAATGATACCAAAAGTAGTTCTTTATTGAGCGTATATTTTATGTGCAAGTTCAGATCTATATCATCAACCCAAAGGCTGCTTCTACATCTAGGTTAGTGATATTGGAATTATGGACTGTTTGTGAACGTAAATTTACATTTCAAATATCTATATATTGTTTTATCTCCAATTAATAGAGATATTAGGACCAAAGAATACGAACAAGTTACAAGGAAGAACATATTATCAACCAACTCTTTTGAAGTAATCACAATCTAGCCAAGTCACAGACATATTTGGACCAAACAACATGGATAAGTGACAATGAAAAACATATTATCAATCAACTCTATAAGTAGTCATCACAATCTAGTTGTTAGCGCCAAATCCTTCAGGAAATTGTCATATATCTTTGAGAATATAACTACCATGAAATATCAGTAATGTTCTTACTTTTTGGAAGTAGAAAAATAAGTACTCACATTCTCCGCGGTGATCCCTAACAATAAAGGATTCAGTCTTTGCCTCTCTTACTCTAACTCCTTCAAAGTCGTCCACAACTCTTGCCCCAAGTCTGAACCTACGACTCCTTGTCCAGCTTGAGTTATCTGTAAATGAAATTTCACCCACTAAACCAATCCCCTCTTTAAGAGTAACAAAAGCATCTCCGGTAAGAAGAGGTTTCTTCCCTTCCCTCTCTCTTACAATGTTATTCTTAAACTCTTCACCTGTCCAATTGTCACCTTCGTCACCATCAAAATCTCCCTCAAGAACAACAATTTCCACTCTTGCTGAGGATTCTGGGCCAGAATTGACAACTTTCCCAGTTACAGATTCAATTATAACAACTTTAATAGAAGAACATTCTTCTCCTTCTATTCGAGCTCCAGTGAACACCGGAAGAGAGAGATTATTTGAGAACTGAAGTTGCAAGCTTCTTGTCTCAGAACAATGTGTATCTTTCTCACTGTTCCTGTATAGGCATGAACCAAAAGCATCAATCCTACAATTCCAAGCCAATGATTCCCACCTTTCAGAATTATGGATAGAAAGATTTCGTGTTTGTTCTCCTTGTTTCCTTCCAACAGAAACATTGAAAAAAAATTGAAAGAAAAAGAAAGATTTTATTGATGCATACCATTTACCTTTTCATACTGTTCAAATGTTTTCGTAGAGCCAATTCGATTTCTTCTTTTACCTGTAAAATATAGTATCAATTATTACTACCAATCTAGGCACTACAAAATGACAAGTCAATTCTTGCTCTAATTTATTGGTATTTGATTCTGACATCCATGGATATAGTTCAAGGTATCTGATGAGAAGCTGAAATCCTGGATAATTGAAAGAACAACTGAAAACATCTATAAGCCAAAAGATCTCTGGTAAGTCACCAAATTATTCAGAATCTAATTGCCCAGGCCATGCCATATCAAGAAACAAATGGGTACAGGTGGAGAAGGCAAGAGAGACTGGGACTAGGTTGCTGCCTAAATAATAAGAATATTTTTGGCGAGAAAAATTCAGATATCATTAGGTATAAATACCAGCATACAACCAAGAAGTAGGTATTGTAAATGTTGATAGTAAAAAAGAGGGTGAATATTATGATTCCAACTTTAAAAAAATATGTTCCCCTATTCTTGAGGACCTATGACCTATTTTTATGCTTGTAAATTTTGGAGGATTCATTGAACTTACAGAATAGTTTGGCTACTTAAAAGCATCTGAAAGACAATGAGATGATGAATAAATCATCTAAGCTCAAAATTTTGATAAAAGATTAACTGAATCATCATTGCAATAGAAATGCACATACCACCCGTCGAATCAAGGGCTCCAGAACAGGCTCCAGAAAATGTTTTACTGATTGCATCTTCATCACCTCCTGAACCACACTAAGCATAAATAAAAAATGGATTAAAAAGTTGTCAGAAGCTTAATCCAAAAACTTATCAGGCCTCATATCGAACAAAAGCAGAAGCCAAAACTTAAATAAGTCATTACACTATTAAGGAAATTACAAAAGCTTAAGCAATCTTATTCCTTCTCCAACAATAATGTTATAGAAACTTTATCAGCCGTTTCAAGAGAAAGCACAAATCATAACAATTGTTTCTCATACTCTTACCAACCTAAAAATTATTGAGCCATTTCCAGGTTTTAAATTCAAGAAAGCATGTGGTCGATACCCTTTAGTATCTATTCCTTAGCTGCATTCATAAAGTATGGATACCAAAGCTGGCAAGTTTTCATTACCTTTTGCCAACTCTCCCAACCATTTACTTCACATCGACTTTACAAGAACAGTCAACCAAGAATACAATGACAACCAAATTACAAGGAAATTCTAAGAGGACTGACGAAAATTCATAACACCAATTTATCCACAATATCTAAGTTTAACAAAATAGTTTCCACAATGCAAACACATGGTAGCAATCGTTTTTTTTTTCTTTCCTAATTCACATCAATAATCTGAGTCTACTTTCAACAGGAGAAAGCACTTGATTGACATTCTGTGAAACAAACCAAATTGCCCTTTAAGTTCCAACCTTGCCAAAGGTATTGACTAAACAAGTAACAAGACCACGGTTTATCCCTTTCTTAATTATAGGAGAAAAAATCCCACTTGAGCACTTAGCCAATCACCCACTTCGCCCAAAAAAAAAATTGACCTTAAAGTTTGAATACCAGTTGACATGGCAAACAAAAAGAAGACTTACTTCCTCAAAGTGGGTATTCTTCTACGCTTATCCTCGGGGCTATTATCTTCTGATCGAACTTTGCAATCATCCTGCTGCCTCTTGTGCGACATTTTGAATCTCAAAAACCCAACAACAACGATATCCAGTGCTTGCGTTTGTTTAGTTTATGGCAAACCATCACGGTGATCAACAACAAGAACCAAATAGAACAACATACGCCGAAGGCAATAAAGAAGATAGGTCTACCAGTAGTATATATACACTATTCATCAATGAACTACAAAGAAGGCGATAAAATTAATCAATGAGTAAAATCCAAAACCAGACAAACAAATACAAAAAAGCGGCTCCTTTCTCTTGATTTAATAAAATCTCTCCTTCCTATCTGTTATTTTAATTTGTTTTTGTCTGCGATGCTTCTCCTCTCATCATCTTCTCCATCCCTCTGTCTTTAATCTTCTCTTTCACTTGCGAGCTGTGCGTGACTCTATCTAACACCTATCGAGAAAAGGCGACGCAACAGTTGAGATGGAGTTGTTTGGTAGCAAGGAAAATACGTAAGGGAGGTTTGTGGGGACCATGGAAACCGCGTGGGGTCCACTAATTTCACCGAGTTAACCAAATTGACTCACAACTGAATTTTTTTAATCAGGATTTTGGTTTGTTTGGGGCCCCAGCTCGGGTGGTATTCGGTTACATTGGGTTCTGGTGGGCATCAGTTTCTATTCGGTGTTAAAATATATTATTAGTGTGTTTTTGTTTAAAACTCGATTAATTAGTGGGATTAAATTAAAGTAAAAATTAATTGTTGATTAACGTTTTAGCAGAAAGAGGCGGAGGAAGACAGTCAAAGGTCACCCAAATGTATCAGATGGCTGAGGAAGTAGTTCGAAGCTGATTAATTATAATAATAATGTGGGTTATGGTTGGTGTGGGGTACATAGATAGTTGATGAAGTTAATTAAATGAAAAAGAAATATTAATCTATGTGATTATATATGTAATATTCAGACTCAAAATTTAATTCGAAATTAATTTTAACCTTTAAAAAATGTATAAAAATAAATTTTTAATTTAATATTGAATTGGAAAAAATTGGTGAAAATTTGGGTTCGGATTGTATTTTTAAAATAAAAATCGAAAACTAGAAGTCAGAATGCAATTAAGAAAATTTTTGCCATGTAAGATTGCCCAGTCAGCAGTCATGACGAACTGGAGCGCGCCGCGTGGCAAGACATGCTGACCCGGTGCCATGCGAGAGGCTACACTGACGATCCGCGTGCCTAGCGATCAGATGACTCGAAAGCGTTCTAGCGCGCGCGAATGGTTCGGATCCGTTCCCTCCTCAGACACGATCGGATAGTCGCGATTAAACGCAATGAATAGTACAAATTCATTCCCTCTTTAAATGTAATCGAATGGTCAAGATCAAATCGCGATAAATAGTCCATATTCATTTTCTCTTTAAACACGATTGGAAAGTCGAGATTAAATGCGATGAACGACCTATATTAACGTGAGACGAGTATAAATATTTCGTATCACACCTAACTCAAACCCTAGCCGCCAGCCTCCCGTTGGAGAAAAAGAATTAGTCGCTGGATAAGGGAGCTGACTACCGCGGACCGCCATGCTGGAGCCACCTCCCGCCACGTTGGAGCCACCTCCGACTGCCAAAAAAGGTAAAAATTCTCATATCTACTCGAAATTTGATTCCGAACACCGTTATGGCCAAATCGGAGCAAAAGAGATGACGAGTGAACCGAAAACCACGGGCAAAACCTACAACCACCTCCGATGAGTCCCTTCTCGTTTTTCGTTTTGTGCAATTTTTTTACTATTGTATTCATCGTTCTGTATTCTACAGGTCGACTAAAGAAAAACACTCAGCCGCGAAGGTGAGCCAACAGAGCCACCATACTAAAAAATCTCACCACTAGTAAGTTTTTATTTTTTGACTTTTTTCGACTAACCGAGATCCCATAACGTGTTTTCTCGTAAGGATGAATATAAAATCGGCCGAAACCGGTCAAAATTAGCTGAAAACGGCCAGGTCAAGGCAAACCACCGCCGCGAGCAATGGTGTGTCACCGAAGCACGGCGGTGTCACCGTGTCAAAATCCCAAAATTGGTCGAAAAATAATTTTTAACACTGATTTTGAATTTTTGGGGTATTTTCAGGTACATGAAGTGTGTTTTAATCTCCGCAGAAAAATTTAAGAAACCCAAAGACCGCTAGTAAACGCAGTAAAAAGTTTGATTTTTCGGACACCGATTCGAATAAGAATCCCTCATCTTATTCTCTGTTATAGAATTGAAGTTTAATAATTGATAATATGGTATTTTGTGTAATTAGAAAACTTTGAGAATAATTATAGGTTATTAATATAGTTGGAGCCGGTTAGTTCTTTATTTGTCATGTTTAACTAATTGTTGAATTTACAGCTTTAAATACATGATGATATACTGAAATGATTAAATGATTTAGTTGTATTTTCTTGATATATATATATATATATATATTGCTAATCTTGCGTGATTTACGGTTGATCTGTGAAATTAGAAATTAATATGCAAACAGAAAATTGTTTAGTTATGTGAATTAATGAATGATAGTTTTACTAGATATCCTGAGAGATGGTGGACGGACCGGGTACATAGAAAACTCTACTGTGAACGTTGTCTCATACCAGACAGGGTATCGAGAAATGATATTTTTGGTGCTCATACCGGACGGAGTATGGGGACAGCCGATTAGTTGACAATGTTGGATATTGATTCATGCGTATTGAGACATCCCTATGAGCCCCCAGGGATACCAGTAAACAAATAAAAAGGGAAAGTGGTTGTTATTACTCACTTGAAAATGATATTAGAATGTTATTTGAGTTATTATCTCTATAGGTCAATTTTAAAAATTCTGCAACGGTAAATATATGCAATAAATAATTTTCTTTATGATAAATGAATTTACTTAAATTAAGAGTTCAGTTGGTTATTTTTATGATTTTTACCAATCTTCAGTTTCTGTATCTATGAGTAGTGTGATATTTTTATTGGGTTAGTGTAACTCACCATTTCATTAACTATTTCATATCAAGAGAATCAAGACCCAGATCTCAATCAACAAGAGGGTTGTGAATAGTTCACCACCTTGCTCCCTTTAAAAAGTAGTGAAGATCGTTCTAAAATGCTCAGTATATCGTCTTTTGTGTATTTCTTTAATTTTCGTTTATTTTTTTAGAATGAACATTGTTGTAACCCTATTAGGTATTCTAAATTATTGCGTAAGGAATGTAAACTCTAAACTCTATTATTTCGCTTTCGCATTTAATTTATAATTTTCTTTTCTTTTAAATTCTGAACTTTTATAATATATTTTATTTAATATATTTAAAAAAATAATTAATCTTAAATAGAAAAAGATTAATTGTTTATTCTTAAAAATCAAAAACTTTTTTACATTATAACATACAATTAAAAAGATGATTGTTAGAATAAAATTTTAATTATTTTTTAACACGTAACTGACATTATTTTAATATGTATTTATTTCCCATTAAATATGTTCTAATTCTCATATTATTTTAGTTTTTATAAAACTAAATCAAATAAAATATTATAACGATTTGTTAAAGACTTTCCTTTTCTCCATTAGATATGTGTATATATATATATATATATATGTATATACTCTTCAGTTCGTCGCAGTCTAACCCTAATTGTACGGGCTATCATAAACACTGGCGCCAAATGACGAAACATCCTACCAGCAAGAAGAACCAAATTTGTTTAAATCTGCAAATCAAACTTTGCTTCCTCGAATCTTCCTTCTTACCCACCAAATTAACTCCTCACTATTAATCTCACTGTACTCTATATATATATATATGTACATATACTTTCTTTTCTCAATAATATAGTAATAATAATTTGAAATTAATTCTTTTGGAAGATTACTCCATATTGTCATTTTGTACTTCTCATGTGTGACTTCACGTCGATGACAAAAACGACGTGGACGTGCGCTCCATATTGCCACCAAAGAAAATTTGAAGACATCGATAATGGAGATCTGCAGAATCTTGTAGAATCATTGTAACATCTACATCTTCCACCCTAAATTATATTTTAAAAAATAACTAGAGAATGCATGGAGGTAATAAGTAAGGAAGCAAAGAAAAAAGAAAAGATCACGAAGATTATAAATCTCTGCATGTGAGATATATACATATATCAGAAATTCTATTCTATTTTAATCGGTAAACCCTATTGATTAAGAAAGCAAACATGAAATGTAGTGGCTTAAAATATTATTCTAATCACTTTGATCATTTGCAAAATGAGGTATTGAAATTATTTCTTTCGTTAGGTTAAATACATTTTGATCAATGTGTGTTATAATGATAGTGTGGACAAGATATCGTGCATGCCTAATAATTGAAATATTCTTCGTATTATCTTAAAGAGAGGTGAGTGATTATATGATATTAAACCTAACCTAGTAATTATCCGACAGAAAACAAACAATTTTTAAAAAGAAATTTGATAATTATTTGAGGCGGGGAATGATATAATATAATATAATATAATATAATTAATGAAAGAGGGCCCCACGGACTCTCCGGTACGGTAGTACTCATGGTAGGGACCTGTGGACCCCACTTGCAGAAGATGCATCACATGATCTTGTCAGGCAGTCGTGTGATGCCCAATCACATCCCATCACATCCCAAGGAGAGATTAAGTTAATTATATGTTTAAGAGGAGGTTAAATTAATTCATCCGCATAAATATTATATGCACGCATGTGGGCAAATAATAATAATATATATCTACACTAAAATATATTATATAAAATTATTTTAAATTTCTCCCAAAGTAGACCAAGATTACCATGCAGTGTATCTAATCCCCATCTATACAAGTCCTGCTCAATGGGGAAGTCACAAATCAAATTATCCCCTAATGTGGCATTTGACAAGGTGATCTTCTCTCTCATTATATTTTTGTACTTTGTTGAGAGCTTGGATAAGATAATCCATATGAAAGTAGAGCATAAAGCTTGAAAACCCTTACAAATGGGTAGATGGGAACCTACAACTCTCATCTTTTCTTTGTTGAACGATATAATCTTTGCGGAGGCCTCCCAAAGTTAGTTAAGAATTATCAAGACCTGTGTTGAGAAATTTTGTTCCGACTCTGAACAAGAAATCAACCTAACCAATTTTTGTATATTTTTCTTAAAAAATGTCAATAATGTGATTGATCAGAACATTAGTGAAGGTAGTCATATGTCCCTCATGAGCAGCCTTGGGTATTACTTTGGGTTGTCAACTTTTATGTTCAAACCACATGGTCTATTTATTCTTCTATGATTGATAAAGTTTACAATAAGCTTACTGGATGGCAAACTCTTCACTTGTTCATGGCTAGTTGGAGTATACTAGCCTAATTAGTTATGTCTATATCCACGTACACTATGTAACCATCTATTCTTTCCTCTATTGTTG